TGGTAATCTCGCCTTGCGCTAAACAGTAAGAGATGATTGGTGAGAATTAAAGGCAGGTTGGTTAGCCCATCGTGATGACTACACTTGGACATACATATCTGTCACGCCTGTCTCCCATTAGGGTAGGCAGAAACAATGGAACGCCAAATGCCACTTGGAAATCAGAACGATGATTTCCAGAAGATACCACGTGGGGGTCGACCTGACAGCTATGACTGTGACAGACTAGCAGTTGCTAGTTTGTCACAGTCATAGCTGTCAGGTCGACCTTAGTTAATAATCATCATTACTAACAATTCCTTCCCTCCCCCCCACAATAGACTAGTACTACAATAGTAAACGATATACTCTGGTGAGGTACCAGTGAAGGATTATAGATGAAGATGAAAGCAGGAATCGCGAATTCACTAGGAACTAACCGAAATAATTTGTAAGGGAAACTGCGTGGAGGTCGACCAGCTTGGGTACACTGCTAAAACTATTACCGCTAGCCCTGTTACCAGCAATCCTTCTCACCAGTCAGAAGCATTTTTTTTTATACCACTGAAAGCACACGACCCACCTTATGATAAGCGGTTACCGTAGCCTATGAACGCTTGCAATACCAGGGGTATTACGCGCGCGTTGCCGACCCTGAAGAAATCTCTTTATTTTAAATTGACGCACGGAATTTCTAGTATTGGTCAAATTGGAACTTACGACATATACCGTTTCTAAATCAAGGTTGTCATTTAATCATGTGTAAACTGCAGGTAACTATAAATAAATAGTGTACCATCATGCCGCAACGGTCTCGAGTAATATCCCGTATAAACCATACAATAAGTTTCTTTTAAAAGTAAAGTTCCTTTTAAAAGTAAAAGACACTTGAGTGGCCTTTTTGTGAAGCAACAAATTCAAGTGCTAACATATGGTTGACTATTCAATAGTTTCAAGTGAATGCCCTTCTCTGTTTAAGTTTATTAGAAAAAAAAATATATATACGAATATATATATGTAAATAAAATTGTGCATTAAAGTTTATATATATATATATATATATATATATATATATATATATATATATATATATATATATATATATATATATATATATATATATATATATATATATATATATATATATATATACATATATATATATATATATATATATATATATATATATATATATATATATATATATATTACATTTAGGACTTAACACCGGACGGTGTTACGTCCATCAAATGTAACAGAAGCCTCCTCCTTGGGAGGTTCTGCTAGTAGTTGCCACGCTTAACAGGCCAATTGGCGGATTGGCAACCACAGCTAGTCTTTAGTGATGTTTTAAGAGAGACGCTGTTAAGTGATTACCGTCGCTCATGATCACCCACAACACCAACGGCATTGCAGGTGTGCTGCCGGCCATTTAAAAAGGAATATGCTCTTTTCTTGAAGGTTATGATATCGTATCGGTTCGGAAATACTGCTATAAACTATGATTATAAGTGACTACAGTTAAATAGTCTTAAAAGATTCGTGATAAAATTTATAATTTCCGAAACATATTTACATTTACATAGATACATTTTAATAACCTATCATATAATGTGAACCTATTCAGTTAGTCAATATACAATTAGTTTCATGATTTCTATTTTCGAGTCATCCATCATCCGTCCTTAATTAGGAAATAGGAAGGCTGCATGTAAAAATATATATTAATGAACAAACCGACGGAAGAAAAAAGACATGCGAAAAACATTTCTTATTTAACTATCGCGGAAAATTTTTATATTCTAACGAGCTTAAAAATAGGAGATATAAATTTAGTAAACGTAGTTATTTGTTGTATGTACACGAATTTAACAATTGTCGATTATTATTAATTCAAAAATAAATTCTTAAATACATAATAATTATTATTATAATATTTAATTATTGTATTATATTGTCAAATCTTTATTATACATAATTTACATTGGACATATTAAAAAAATTAACATTCAATGGCGAACTTATCCTACAGAAAAATCTCCTACAATCAACTTAATTATTTATTTCATTAAAAAAAATATTATTTATTAAAATTGTTCCCATCGTGTTTAATATGTATGTATAATTTCGGATATGGTCTAAAAAACGATATATATATTCCAAAAACTCCAGAAACAACATTAGGAATTACAATTGTAACTTTGCATATTTTAATTTATTTTTATAATCAATCAATACACATAATAAAATTGTAACTGGCCGCTGTCTGTACATAGAGATATACACGAGAAGGCTTTATGAAAGCAATAGAACCCAAAACAACGACTTTTAGAATGTTTGTCTGTACATTTGTGCACGCTAATCTCACAAACGGCTTAACCGATTTGAATGCGGTTTTCACTAATGCGTTGCAGATTACTCCATTTAATATTTAGTTTTTGTTTTATTTCAATCGTTTCATAAATAAAAAAAACAGTTGTATCAATCTAAAGAATCTCACATAAAATGCTATAAAATAACCGATCAGTTGAACTGGTTGAAACTTTATTATTATTATTATTACTTATGATAATAATAAAAAAAATTATATTAGTATTGATTTTCGAAAATTCTGTCTATCGCGCTAAGCCGATAATAATAATCAATTTAGGCAAATATTTTAATTACAATAGATATAAATGTCTACAATCAAATTTAATTAAATACGAGAGAATTATTTTCTAATTAATTATTTTTACAAACTTTTACAAAAATCGAAGACTAGATTATACCACAAACAGTATAAAATAAAATTAATTGTTACATTCAATGCCTTGTCCGAACGATTGAATTATGTATATAGCGACAGATTATAAACGGTAGCCTAGGACGTCAGAAATATTAAGTTGAACTAAGCAACTCGCATTATTAATTCAAAAAGATCAGAAGGTCGAAGGTCATCGCTGGAACACAATGTGATCGCTCCTTTCTATTCACAGAATACGGAGACGCGATTACGGGAACAAAGCACATGTCAGTATAAATAAAAATTGGTTTCAAAAAAAAAACGACTACAATGTGCCAAAACCTATTTTTTATGCAACTTAGAATGGCAAACAAGCTGACGGCCCATCTGATGAAAAGTGGTAACCGTCGTCTATAGACATGAGCAGTACCATGGACATAACAGAGTATACTGTTTCGCCCATGATACCACCCATGCGTTGCCATTCCTGAGGACTCAGGTGTTATTCCTCTGTACCCTGTAAATTCACTGCTATATCCCACCCTTCAAACCGAAACACAGCCATGCAAACACAATGCTTTACGGTTGAAACACGAATGGGACAGAGGTACTCAAGCAATCGACTTTGTTTGTTTATACTTGTTTCTATTTTAAAACTAAACTACTGAATCGATTTTAATAAGATTTTTATGAAAATAATCTGTAAAAAAAGATAAAGAAGAATTTTCCAAATCGGTTTAGAACTGACGGAGTTTCGAGATAACAAACATTAAGAAATACGACCAAATTCACCTCCTTCTTTTTAAAGTCGATTCAAAATTTAATATATTAAAAATAAAACACTATATACCAGGCCATTTGGCCAGTATGATAATTGTAAGCCAATATCGTCATTTTTATAAATTTATTGCAGGTTATTATTGAATTTGTAAGGAATAAAAGAGGCAAAATGCTGGGCCACCTTATACGATATGACGATTTTTTTAAGAGCATAGTAGAAGGAAAGATAGAGGGCAAAAGAGGAAGAGGAAGACCGAGAATTAACTACATGGGACAGATAAAGGAAACACTAGGCGTCATGTCGTATAGGGAGATAAAGGATATGGCCTGGGATAGAGCTGGCTGGAGGAAGATAGATGAATTAGTTGCACCGACAAGAGGAAACTCTTAAATTAAAAGAAGGAAAGTCTAGACTGTACAGTCACAATTCAATTAAAATTAAACTACAATCAAAATAAATGGAAAAATTTTATAACTCCGTTAATGACTTTTGTTCTAGTGAATAAATACTGCAGTGAAAAAGAAATTGATGAGTGGATTTGACATTTTAATTATATATATATATATATATATATATATATATATATATATATATATATATATATATATATATATATTTTTTTTTTTTTATTATTAGTATTACGATAATACAATGGGTGAAACAGTATACTCTGTTATGTCCATGGTACTGCTCATGTCTATAGGCGACGGTTACCACTTTCCATCAGGTGGGCCGTCAGCTTGTTTGCCATTCTAAGTTGTATAAAAAAAAAACTTCTAAATATTTAATTTAATGCTTTTTGTATTATTTTTTTTTTAATAAAATAATACATAATTTCAGAAACAATGTACTTTGTATTTTGTTTATTTTTTTTATTAAATGACTAATAACTAATATGACTACATTCACGTGTTAATTATCTCCATTGGATTCTATAAAAACTTACAATTGGATTAATTATTATTGTAATTGGTTTCAGGATCATAATAAAAATTATTTTTCCATATGTACACATAATAGATATGTTTATATATGTGCACAAATTTAATAGAAAGATCACTTATTTGTTTTTTTTTAAATATTTCAAGTGCTTTTGTGTACGTAAATTAATTAATTGTAAACAAATCAAAATTTTAACCATTAACAAAAAATATTATTTTACCACAGCCTTTTTCCTTATTACGAGTATAAAATGTTTACAATAAAAACATTGTTTACCCATTTCTAAAAACATAATAAAGCTGATACAAAGATAAAGACAAATATACTTTTTTTGTTTACAATAATTACAATCAAACTCACCTGCATTGTTAATTAACAATAACAAAAACCTACTACTCTTTTTTACCATCGTAATGGAAACAAACAGAAAATATTAAAATATTATTTGGTTATGAAATTTAAGATTTATATTTTATTCGCCTTTGCCATGTTATAGACAAAGAGAATTATAAAAAAGAAATCGATTTTATAAAAAAAAAAGTATCTCAAAGATTTCCAGCTGACGTAACTCACACATTCATTACTAAAGCCTTAGCACACTAACTTCAAACTTCACATCGAGTGACGACGGTATCACAAAGCGACGCGACCACCCCACACCGAGGGTGAATGGGCACTGAAACATCGCTAGCAAGACAAGGGTAGGTAAGCATTCCCCCCGACTCGACCCTAACAAAAATGCATACACAATATAGGTATTAAGCGAAAAAAATTTTAGACGGAATGCGAGACGCGTTTAGGAAGGCTCTCTCTTATTGTACACTTAATGTTTTGGTCGCTTTGTATACGTAGTTTGAATTACATTTGAGTTCCTTCATTCGAGTTTATAGACATGATATATTTTTAATAATAATATATGTTTAAAATTATTAATACAGTGTTTATTTTAAAAATATAAATTAATGTTTTAAAAGTAATAAGTATTTTTATTTTACAATTAACATATCTTTAGCCGTGTAGTCCCGGCATAGAATAGATTGCCCCTTCCTTTCCCGTAGGTGTCGTAAGAGGCGACTAAGAGAGGGCGAGGAATGGGTAGTGAGTCCCTCTTAAAGCATCTATAAAACCTAACTGTGGTTGCCAACCCGTCTGCCAAGCGTGGTAACTACTGGAAAAACCCCCTGATGATGATGATAACTTAGGATAAACCATTTTTGCAAATCTAATTACAATTCCTTCTTTACCATTTAAACTTCCTATTTTATATAACAGAAATGGAGCGAGCTCTCTGTCTAACGTTCCGCCAGTAACTACTGTATGGGATTTTTTAAACAATGTTTCATCAGGATCGACAATGCATGCGTGACCTTCACGTTATTGCAAGCATCTATAGGCTACGGTAACTTTCTACTATTAGACGATCTTTTTTCTTTATACAACTTAGAATGGCGAACAAGCTGACGGCCCACCTGACGGAAAGTGGTAACCGTCGCCTAGACATGAGCAGTACCATGTACATAACAGAGTATACTGTTGCGCCCATGATACCCCCATGCGTTGTCATTCCTGAGGACTCAGGTGTTATTCCTCTGTACCCTGTAAATTCACGCCATATACCGCCATATAAACCGAAACACAGCCATGCAAACACAACTGCTTCACGGTTGAAATACGAATGGGACAGAGGTACCCAAGTAAACGACTTTTGCACAAAGTCTCTGGTAGATCTGATCTGTACACATGTTTGATATTTATGTTTTTTTTAAAAATAAATAAATCGGAAGTATAAAAATGATAACTTTCTATGAAATAACATTATTTATAATAATTTTTACATAATAAGGCAACGGAAACGTTTGGGACTTGCTTAGAATAAATTTTATTAACTTTATAACAAGCAGGGCTCGTTAAGATTGATTTTTTTGCTTATTCAATTTTATTTTTCTCATTTGATAAAAAGTGAAATCTTACAAGGTGCAACTTTATGAATTTCTATGTTCCATCATAACTTTTAAATACTAAACAGACTTCGATACATGAAACGTCGTTAGAATAATCGCTAAAAAGTTTTTGAAAACAATTCATTATTTCATTAATTGTGTTTTTATTTTTTTAATTTAAAGACCAGATGCTACTTTACCCGTAGGAGACTTTGTACAAAAGTCGTTTGCTTGTGCACCTCTGTCTCATTCGTGTTTCTACCGTGAAGCAGTTGTGTTTGCATGGCTGTGTTTCGGTTTGAAGGGTGGGATATGGTGTGAATTTATAGGGTACAGAGGAATAAAACCTGAGTCCTCAGGAATTCAAAGTAACCGAATTAAAAGTACCCGTACCCAAACGAGCGTGTATGAAAAGATTGATGAATGTGGAGGAAGCGAAAGAGGTTTGTTTGAATCGAAGCATTTGGCGTTCCATTGTCCCTGCCTACCCTAATGGGAGACAGGCGTGACAGATATGTATGTATGTATGTATGTATCTTCGGAAATGGCAACGCATGGGGGGTATCATGGGCGAAACAGTATACTCTGTTATGCCCATGATACTGCTCATGTCTATAGGCGACTGTTACCACTTTCCATTAGGTGGGCCGTCAGCTTGTTTGCCATTCTAAGTTGCATAAAAAAGAAGTGCGCAATGTACTTGTTGATCTTTGTTACTAAGGGCAGGTAAGATACAGCAATATCGATATATTTTAGTTACAATATCTAAATAATAGTCCAATAACGAATATGTTAAAATTTTGTTATCTAAATAATAATATTGGATAACAGACTTTTAACATATTCGAAAATAGATATCCGACCGATAAGGACTATATCGAAATGGGTGATGACCTTTGTTCCACCATCAATGTCCAGAGAAATATATAAATATCGGATCGGTATCTATATTTTTATTCAATAGATGATAATGGAATGGTAACCTCGTCTGCGCTAACAGTATACGCTGGCGGGGCACCACAGATAGATGGTAAGTGAAGATGAAAGGACGGGTTAGTTAGCCCATCGTGACGAATACACCTGGAATTCAGCACGATGGTTTCCAGGAGAACCACGTGAAGGTCGACCTGACAGCCTCAATGGTCGCGTACAGCGCGGTTTCAGAGATGTTTCCTCCCACGAACACTCAGGTTGTGAAATGAGCTCCCTGTCGAGGTTTTCCCAAGAGACTACAGCATGGGGTTCTTCAAAAGGGGGGTAAAGAAGTTTCTTCAGGGTCGGCAACGCACGCATAATACCTCTGGTATTGCAGGTGTTCATAGGCTACGATAACCACTTACCATCAGGTGGGCGGTATGCTTGTTTGCCACCTCAGTGGTATAAAAAAAGGGTATATTGCTAGCAATGGGACTGGTAGTCCGCATTACTAGTAATCCCTTTCCCCCCGGCATCTATATTAGCCATGCCTAGTTACTACATCTATATTCCATTGACATTTCTTCCATCGACTCATCATGGTAATCCGACTTACTACGAACAAGAAGCCTCGCTATATTGGAGCACTGACTATACGAGAACAGAAGGGGCGCAATACAAAAACATTAGACAAAATAGTTGCCAAGTTGTGTTTAATTAAACGGCAGGAATTCGAGAAACGTAGCCTTAGCCTTGCCTCCAAGGCGATCTTTAATTAAGTCTAACATTGTTGTAATTAACTGGTTACATAAATTAAATAATTATTAATTTGCATTGATATTTATTATATATATTTTTAGAACAATTACATTACTTTTATCTACGCAGCAAACTACAATAAATATTCATTTAAATACTTAAAATATTTTACTTCCTATAATCTGGCAGACTTTTTATATTACTGTGTTTTTTTTTTATATAATTATCTATATTTATATAAATATAAATCGACTGTAATCATGACAAAATCAGTCATTGTGTTATTAAAACTAAATTACTGAAACGATTTTGATGAAATTTCTACGCGAAAAATCTGTAAGTGTATCCTTTCAGATAAAAAAATAATTTTCCAAATCTTTTTACAATTGTTGGAATTATGAGGTAACAAAAAAAAAACAACCGAATTAAGGAACTCCTTCTTTTGGAAGTCGGTTAAAACTATGAATTGGTAAACAAACTGGTTACACGTCTTGTGGTAAGTATATTTTATTTATTTATTTATAAAACTTAAATACACTTAGGCAATATAAATGGCGGACATAACACCATATTATGGCTTTATCTACCGATCGATCGTAGACAGGAATAACAGAAAATAAAATGTACCTTATAAGTAAACTTTATAAGTAAATAAATTCATTATTTTTTTATTACTTTTATTTTTATAAAAGACTAAACCCCTTATTCATGAAAACGTTAAACCTCTCATAAACTTTTTTTGAGCTATTTAACTGTTTTGTCTCTTTCTTTTGTACTGAATTCTTAATTTGAAAAAAAGTGACAAAATAGTGTCAATTTATAAGGATAAGAGGATAAGATTTTATGTCTTCTTATTTCACTACTATGTCCCACCTGGTACCACCTTTCAAACCGAAACATACCTATACAATAGTTGCTTAGCAGCAGAAACAGTGTTATTGCAAAATAAGAAGGCAATAACTTATAATAAGTGCCACATAAGGATTACTATGGTGTCACCGTATATACTGCGGTGCCCAAATTGCTGTTTATATAGGAAATAGTTATTTTCCATCACATATCCCGTCGTTTTATTTTTCATTCTATGTTGCATAAGAAAATAATGATTAACATAACTAACTGTTCAAAGAATATTCTATTTTATATTTTATAATATATAAAAGAATCCAGTATTGATTTTTTATTTTTAGTCATTTTCCAATGAAATATTTACCCAAATTTCCATCAATATGGAAATTTGGGTAAAATTATGATGATTATATTGACATGACCGTTGATTTTTTTTTATACAACTTAGAATGGCAAACATGCTGACGGCCTACCTGATGGAAAGTGGTAACCGTCGCCTATAGACATGTGCAGTACCATGGACATAACAGAGTATACTGTTTCGCCCATGATACCCCCCATACGTTGCTATTCCTGAGGACTCAGATATTATTCCTCTGTACCCTGTAAATTCACACCATATCCCACCCTTCAAACCGAAACACAGCCATGCAAACACAACTGCTTCACGGTAGCACAGATAATATAATACTATACTAGACGGTAGAAACACGAATGGGACAGAGGTAGCCAAGCAATCGACTTTTGTACAAAGTCTCCCTCTGGTCATCCCTGAAATCGTCATTAACTGCTATCATATAACTGTCATTGCCAATCATTTCAATTGGATTCGTATAATGATAAATGGTGCTTAATTGTCAATCATGTGTAAAATGACGATGATCAGTGATAATCGTCAATCACGTAAAGTCGACAATTATTTTTCCCAATTTAAAAAGTGACTTATTGACATTTGGAATGTCAGACAACTTGATGGAAAGTGATAACCGTCGCTTACAGACATGAACAGTACTATGGACGGCACAGTATATACTGTTATGTCCACGATACCCATAATTCCTAAAGACTATGGTCTTATGCCTTTATATCCTGTAATTTTACTGGCATATCCAAAGGGAAAACAAACGACTTTTGTACAAAGTCTCCCTCTGGTAATTCAGAACTGACGAAGTTATGAAGTAAAGAACAT